AAGATATATATCTACCTTAATAGCAGATTAACACTTGACTTTATCATTGCATTCATTTCAAATTGTTAAAGAGATTTCCTAAATGACAATTTTGTTTCATTATTGTGCACCATATACAGTCTTTCTTTATCCCCACTTGTGGGATCACATTGAGTATGTTGTTGTTGTTATTGACTACAATCTTTCTTTATGTTAAGAGGGGAAAAGATAATAGAATGAATAAGAAAAACCATCTAGGATGAGTCATAAAATTATCTAACCGATATTTTTTTCTGGCAGTGGTTCGAGAAAAAGATGTCTGTTGGGAATATGCGGAGAAGTTAGACGGAAATAAAGTGAGATGTAAATTCTGTCTTAGAATTCTCAACGGTGGCATTAGTAGGTTAAAGCACCACTTATCCAGACTTCCCAGTAAAGGTGTGAATCCATGTACTAAGGTGAGAGATGATGTTACTGACAGGGTAAGGGCAATAGTAGCATCAAAGGATGAGGCAAAGGAAACTCCTAGTACTAAAAAGCATAAGCTCATTGAGGCTAAATCTCTTGTAAATATTTCTCCAGAAAAACCCCTTTTGTCTGTGGAACCAATAACTCCAATTGCAAGAACTTTTCCACCAATTGGGCAGGCTATCTCTTCACCTGGAAATAACCAAGAAAATGCGGAGAGAAGTATTGCATTGTTCTTTTTTGAGAACAAAATTGACTTCGGTGTTGCAAGATCTTCCTCTTACCATCAAATGATTGAGGCAGTAGGGAAGTGTGGCAGTGGGTTTTTAGGTCCTTCTCCTGAAACTCTGAAAGCAACATGGTTGGAGAGGATCAAGTCTGAAGTAAGCTTACAGTCAAAAGATGTTGAGAAAGAGTGGGCAATGACAGGTTGCACTTTAATTGCAGAAACATGGACAGATAACAAAATGAAAGCTTTGATCAACTTCTTGGTTTCATCACCCTCCAGGACTATTTTCTACAAATCTGTAGATGCATCTTCATATTTTAAGAATCTAAAATGCCTCTCTGAGTTGTTTGATTCAATCATTCAGGAATTTGGCCCAGAGAATATTGTGCAAGTAATTGTGGATAATACACTTTGCTGCACTGGTATAGTGAACCATATTTTGCAGAACTATGGGAGTGTTTTTGTGTCCCCTTGTGCTTCACAGTGTATAAACACAATCTTAGACGAGTTTTCGAAATTAGATTGGGTATATAGATGCATTTTACAGGCGCAATCAATCTCGAAGTTTATATACAATAATTCCTCATTGCTTGTTCTCATGAAAAAGTTCACTCTAGGACAAGAGATCATCAAGACTGGTATCACAAAGTCCGTTTCACACTTTCTCTCCTTACAATGTCTACTGAAGCATAGGTCAAGATTGAAACTTATGTTTAACAGTCCAGAGTTTGCTGCCAATTCTGCTTATACAAATAAACCGCAAAGCATTAATTGTATTGGAATTCTCGATGACAATGACTTTTGGAGGACAGCTGAAGAGTGTGTTGCTATTTCTGAGCCCTTTCTCAAAGTAATGAGGGAAGTATCTGGAGGAAAGCCAGCTGTGGGCTCTATATATGAACTATTGACCAGAGCAAAGGAGTCAATACGGACATACTATATTATGGATGAAACAAAGTGCACGACATTTTTGGATATAGTAGATAAGAAATGGCAGAATAACCTCCACTCTCCTCTGCATTCAGCAGCTGCCTTTTTGAATCCTAGCATCCAATACAACACAGAAGTCAAGTTTCTTGGGTCAATAAAAGAAGATTTTTTCAGAGTGCTGGAGAAGCTATTACCGACTCCCGAATTGAGGCGAGATATCACCACTCAAATCCTTTCATTTACAAGGGCATCAGGAATGTTTGGTTGTAATCTGGCAAAGGAGGCAATTGATACTGTTCCTCCAGGTATGACTGAAGCTTTAGATTCAAATGTTTTGTGCATCCCCAGTACATATACTTAAATTGAAGCGATCCTAAGAAAATTCTTGTCCGTTCATTCTTCTTTCTTCTCCTTGAGATAGTAGGAAAGCTGGCTAGCACCTTCTTCTAAATTGACATGTCATAGGTCACGTAGTGATATCCTGCATTGGCAGAAAAATAATTCCTATTAGACTAATGGGTTCCTTTGGTGTTCCCTGGAGATCTCTCTCCCTTTATTTTTGTGGACTTAGGTGGAATGGGTATAACCTATTTGAGACCCTTTGGGTTTGCCCAGTTGGTTTGGAGGGCGGTCATCCACACGGATGACCTGGGATCGAATCCCCCTCAATGCCTTCTGGGTTGAGCCTGTCGCACATGGCTTGCCTAGTGCGGATTACCTCCCCTGTGTCTGTGTGGTTTGCAGGCTATTACACAGGGGGAAGTTTACCCAGTGCGCACCAAGTGTAGCGGCTGCGGGTTTCCCTCTTAACAAAAAATAAAAAATAAAATAAAATATGGGTATAGCCTATTTGCTTATGTTACTTTTTACTGGCATAGAGATCTTTATTTCCAAAAGGTATAAATGCTTTTTAAATTCCTCTTGGAAAGGTGAAAAACTCGAAATTTTGTTGCATTATTCTGACCAACTATAGAAAAAGTAAAAGAAGAGAAATGAAAGATGTGTGATATTTCTTTTGTATCTTTCATGTGGTATCCACTCAGGCACTCACAACTAGAGAGAACCTTATCAGAACTCAGAAGGAGATCATAAATCCTATTTCTCTTGGCCTTGCAGAATAGGTTTTCTTTTTCAAAAGTTTCACTTGTATTTCCTTCATTTTACTTACACCTGGAAGTTTCATTAGTTGCCTATATGATTTTCAAGAAAAAAAATGATATTTCCAACGAAAGCTTTTCTTTTAAGCTTCGTGCAACTGCAACTCGTAGACTCCATTTTGGATATAGACCTGAAAAGATTATAGAATATAGTGTTCTAAATGCTCTTCTCCTATAAAATGAACTCTCTTTTTCTTCCCTTTAGCATGGAGAAAATGATGGTTGCAACACATGGTCAAAATGCGGAAACCCAGTAATATCTGGTCATTAGAACTTGCAAGTGTTCTGGGATTCAATTTCTAATTAGTGTTTTTATAGTGTTGTGAAGGTTCGAGACTAGATTTTAAGTTTTTCTTTTCCTGAAAGTTCTAGGCTTCAGAGTTAAGAGTACTAAAATTAGTTCCAGACTCTAGTTTGAGCCTTAAGTTATATCTGGATAAAGCAGTAGTGTTGCAAGCTGATCTTTTGAGTTATCTATAAACTAGTTTGAGTTTGGTTTTTTGTCTGAATACTTTGCGATCTAGTTAGATCTACTACCTTACAAGAAAATAAGAAAGAGAGGCACCAGCTTTAAGAATCAGTCATGAAGGTCATTTAACGTTTCATGTTTAATTTAAGCAAAATCCAATGTGAGATTTAAAATTGTTAGAAACAACTAAGCTATTGTTGCCTGTGCTTGTTGTGCTTGCTACCTCCTAAGTTAAGTAAAACCATGAGCTAATAAAAGGAGATGTACTTGGGTTTTTATTTCTCATTTATTAAAAGAAATAAAAAAGAGATGTACTTGAACGGCAATTCTGCCTCGAAATACATACCTATCACTTCCTGCAAGACTAAACATTCAGGAAGCAATGAAGTCAGTGGAACTTTTGAACCTAAAAGTTGTAAAAAAACATTAATGACTCGGTAGATATTAACTGGTAGTAAGACTTCCATAAGACTGGCTTAAAATACTGACTAAGCTGAAATTATGTCTAGTTGATCGCTAACCTTGAGTCAAGTCTCCTCTGAATGCATCAATTGTATGTACTTTCTCCAGCATGTCGTAAATGACTTGAACTGTTCTGTTATAATTTTCTATCATCTTGCTTGCATCTCAATTCATAGATTCATGCTGTCAGAAAAATGACTGCTGCCGACACTTCATGCTTTTTATACAAGCTTTCGTCATTGCCTAACTAACTCTCAATGGACTGATACGAAGGAAATGCATTGTAGGTATTTGGTGGGAACAGTACGGTGATGCTGCTCCTACGTTGCAGAGAGTCGCCATTAGAATACTTAGCCAGGTATGCAGTACATTCACTTTTGAACGACATTGGAGCACATTTCAACAAATCCACTCTGAGAGGCGCAATAAGATTGATAAGGAAACCCTTCTGGACCTTGTTTACATAAACTATAATCTGAAGTTAGCACGGTATTTGGTTTCTAAACCTACCGAGGAGGATCCCCTCCAACTTGATGACATAGATATGACATCTGAGTGGGTAGAAGAGGTGGATAATCCTAGTCCAACTCAGTGGCTTGATAGATTTGGTTCTCTGGATGGAAATGACTTGAACACACGACAGTTTACCGCTGCAATATTTGGTGCTAGTGACCACATATTTGGTTTATGACCAGGTTGTCGTCCACCCCCAACGTGCAGGGATTTAGTCGTCATAATGTAGTGTCTTGGAATCGTGTGGTACTTTTAGCTCTTCTTTTTTCATGTAAAAACGTAGTTAGGAGTAGTGCAAGTAGCTGTTCTGATAGGCCATCTAAACGCCATTCCTACCCAGAAATAGAGGGGGATGGTAGTTGGTAAACTGGCCATGTATGTTACATACATTAGTGTATACATTGTGCAGTACGTGAGAAAGGTGTTCCGTTTATCCTCTATCGAAATATTTGGGTAGTCAGGGAAATCTAATTATACTTTTGACACCCCTTTGGAATAAGTTGCAACAAAGGTCCTATCAGACACATGGGAGACCAAACTACTGTTTCCTTGTGGATGCCCAGAACATTTGCGCCAAGTTCTGTAAATTTTCGGCTAAGTCTACCAACGCAAAAGGGAAGGCAAGCCAACTGTCTTATATGAAAGTTTACTGGCTCCGAAGTTGAATTGGTATCGTGTTTGGACAAAGCACGGCAATAGTAATTAAAAAGCTAACTAGAATGCCAGGACGCAAAATTGACATGGGAGAAGAATAACCTCTACCAGCCTACTTCGCTTATTGCAACCTTGCAGCTATCATATCAATGCCAAACATCACTTATCTAAAGTTAATAGGACTTATCAGAAAATATCTATCTGCACAAGCATAAAATACATTTACAATGACATTATAATGTACTGACACCTTCATTACATTCTCAAAAAATTTATTTTATTTTTACAGAAGACGTGATCATAAAAACTATTATGATGAATTGCCAATCAAATGAGATATCGCCTTGTCTGTATCGTTGTCATTCAATAGTAAGGCATCTGCAACACTGTTTGGTGAGAATCCCATCTCTTCTTTCAAGCGAGTATATCTCTCGGCAAATTCCTTGACCTGATTAGTTGATGAAAATGTTAGAAAAAGCTAATGAACGGTCACATTTACTATAGACAAGTGCTCCTTAATGCTAGTGGTCAAATTTTTGTATAACACTTCCTTGTTCACTTCAACATTCTACAATCTCGGTCGCAAATTAAATGTCATGTTTGGCCATTCAAAAACTAAAATTCAATTTTTGTTAACATTACTGTCGAAGTGGTTTTATGATGGAAAAAGATGCATCAAGTTGTACCTTCATGCAGTTTTAAATATCTAATTCTCTTTACAAAACATAATGTAATCATTTTCCAATTTCAATATAAAAATTAGTTAACTTGACCGTCGATGAATTAAATTTGAAATTTGACTTAAACGGGAAGAAAATAAGAAATGGAAGTCTTTGTAGAGAAATGTCTTCACAAACTTAATTTAAAGTAAGTTTTGTAGATAAGCTAATTTGACCGTGCTCCTAGTGCTACATGCAGGCATAGAAATGTAAGAGAAGCATATAAAAGATATGTATACCTTGATCGGGTTGTCTCCATAATTTGCAACCGCTATGGCCACAGCCTCTCTGTTGAAACCAAATGAAGTGTATTTGTTTATAACAGAATCTCCAGTGGATCCCTATATTCAAGTAAGAAAAGACTCATTCAAATATCAACAAAAATTAAGTCTCTGTTGATGAGCACCAAATCAGAAATCACATTGAGTAAACTGCAAAATATTTGATGTATTACACATTCCCAAACAAAGCACATGATGTGCTCTTGGCAATCAATACTTGATGTTATATGTGTGTGTGCGCGCGCGCACATACACATATATTTAACGATGCTAACTACCTTTGTTCATAGATTTAATATTTGACATCCTAAAAATGTCAAAATATAAATGACATGTTTAGAGACATGAATTTTTCCTCCTTTGCAGTATATAAACCATATTTGGATCCACAAATTCAAAATGAGGGATCCAACTTGCGGATTTACTTGTTACGCTAATTCCTAGAAAGGAAAAGGACAAACTTATTCTTTCTTAGGTCAAGTAAGCTATGCATAATAGAATATGTTGTTTAAAGAATAATCCTCACCGTAGGAAGGTGTTAGGTAGTTAGTGTATGTAACTTCAATGTTCCACATTGGTTAGTAGGTATTATGTATTGTGTAAAGTCTGTATAAGATAATTAAAGTTACTCATCTTGATAATACTTTCCCTTGCCTTCATTTCTCACAGAAGGATTTAACCACGTTGAAAACTTAAAAGTAGTCTACCTGAGCCAAGGAAAAGGAAGTACAAGAACCAACACTTGCACCATTATCCTCAAGCTTAATTGTGGTAAACAGGGCAGAACAGTAGCATTGCTTATTAGCATCTCCTCAATTATCCAGGAGTCCAACCCAGAGAAAGAGCCTGAACAGATATTAAAATAACGCCAGATTTGTCGCCAACTATGAACTGAATGACTGGAAGCCGCATCTCATAATCTTCAGTTTCAATGTAGACTAGGAATACGTAAAGATATGTCATTGGAAGTAATTTCCTACTCTAAAAAAAATAAAAGAGTTACATCTTAAAGATTCAGCTCTTTTTTTCAAATTTGGACCTTCCTGGAAGCAGCAGTGCCACAATCACATTTTGTAAGATCAAGTGATGATAAAAAGAGACTAAAACATCTCAAGGCTCAAACTACTTTACATATTTGACTACCTCCACCATATGCCAGAGTACAGGTGTCTAACTTTTGTATATTTCTTTCGCTTGTTGATGAGCTTTTTAATCTCTATAGTTTAAGACCAAATTAAATAAAATAGATAGCAATAGAAATCCCCCAATTAAGATGTTAGTCTTATGACCCAGCCACTGCCCTAGCAGTTAAATATAGAAATGCATATGGGTGCAAACCAAAGAAGTACTCTCTCTGTTTTCAATTTCTATGACGCTCTTTTCATTTTGGGGTGCTCCAAGATGTTTGTCATCACTCCATGTCTAGCCAACTTTCACAACTTCCAAGAATGCAAATCCAGTAAACTACACAAATTTGAAGCTTTGATGTGATGTTTTCTGTATCAAACCAACTTTTTCAATTGTTTCTTTATTTATTTCTTCCACTACCACTAATAATATACACAAGTCAAAATGAATATCTTTAACACCATGATCAGTCAAGCACCGTCATATAATTGAAATGGAGGAGAATTTCAGCTAACAATCAACTACACCTCAATTCTAAACTAGTTGGGTGGGCTATATGAATCCTCTTAAGCCCTTCACTCTATTCAAGGGCCAACATAGTGTTGTCCTAGGTGGGTACGTCCCAACAAATTCACTATTCAGGGGATTAATTATACTTGGACATTTTCATTCAGATACCGGACTGGATACGCTTAGAGATACTTATGTAAGTAGAGTTTAGAACTACAGTTAACAAGATTACAAGAAATACAAAATACCGTGTTAGTTTGTTCTGGCAATCTAGATGGAAGATTTTCCAGCCCTAGCCTGCTCCAGTTCTGGCTTTCCTTTTCTGCTTCGGCCAGAATCTTTTTCTCAAAGTCAAAATCAAAGTTGAATGTGCTCCGAGGAATGTCTCCCACTTGTGTTGACAGCGGAGGCTGCAAGAAACCGAAAATAATATATTGTTCACATAAACGACTTAAGTTATGCATCTGATACAATACTAAATTAATAGTATACAAAATCTAGTTATGGAAACAAACTGATGAGTAGAATTATATTGAGTTTAAGTCCTATGCACTGACAATGTAAAAGTATTTTGACAATCAGATCATTTATTTAGGTAATTACAAGTAAATCTCTCAATAAATATTAGGTTATCATTAAAAATGATAACTAACCTCAGGTTAAAATTCACTGATAATGTAAGAAGCTTTTAAAACGATCCGTGTATATAACTTAAATTTTATATTTGCAAAAGGTCCTATGAAGCACGGTTGTATATCACAGTCGGAAGCACGTCCAGCATATAAGCACCTCAGAACTTGGACTACATGTACAAGACTACAATAGTATATATTAAGCATAAAGGATTCGTACCGGAGGTGTAATCCGATATTCAGGTTTAATAGCAACTCTGATGCCAATTCCAGCTGCATAAAAAACAGGTGAAAGATCAAAATTGCGCTAATTGAAATTGACTCCGAACAGATTAACCTACAACGCTTACATAAATGAGAGATCAGAGATCGAGGAAATACATACTGTTGGAAGACGGAGAAGAGGTGTGATGAATAGGAGGGTTACGGCCGCCGCCGGAGGGTTGACCAACCCTAGGATATAGTCCGGGAGCTTGTTGACCGTACATGGGATGTGGATGTGGATGTGGATGTGGATGTGGAGCGCCAGTTGCTGGTCTGCCGTACATCGGCGGCAATTGTGTATCGTAAGGAGATCCTGTTCTGTTCCTGTAATCGTATTCCATGGCTGGCTAGATGGCAGGAGAATTTCTTCGAACCCGGGAATTTGATTTCCGTCTGTAGCACGCTTTTGTTAGGGCGAAGTGCATCATTAGCCAATTTTAAGCCCGCTATTTAAAATATATCCATAATTTATAATATATTTAAAGATTAGTTAATTCACACACACTATAGGATTAAGCATCATTTTTTATCTGCTAATTTTAATTTCAGGAATAAGTGTCATGAATTTCTGAATTACTAATTTAAAATTCAGGATATAAGATTCGAACTTCTAGATATAATTTTTGAATTTTAGGACATGATGTAACGAAGTTTGAATTTTTAGGTTTAAATTCTAGGATGTCGTGTCCTGAAATTTGAGTAAAATTATCTAATATTTAAATTATATTATAAAATATGGATATATTTTAAACATCATTGCTTAAAGGTGGCTGCCTGATGTCATTTCCACTTTTTGTTACTGATTCTGAGTTTTGGGCTTTGTGCCTAAGCCGTGCGGGCTTCTTATGATCCAAATATGTATTGGATTTGGATGGGTGATCCAAACACGGATACACTTCCTTTTTCTATTTTTTCCCCGAAAGAGGAAAATATTCTTATTTTTTTCTGAAAGAGGAAAATATTCAATGCAACTATTTACTTAATTTTAAGTGGAGTAATAAATTTTGTACCTTTATTGATTTAGTGTATGCGTCAATGCAGGTAAAGTTACATCATCACATTGTATATGAGTAAATATTTAGATCTAAGTTTATACAATTAGATTTGTTGTGAAAAAGGGTTAATCTTAGTCAATATTAATATCCAAACTAGTGAATTTATCCGCGCTTCGCGCGATTATAAAAATATATTTGATTCATAAATAATATTTTATAAATTTAATTGAAATAAAAGAGATAAAATTTGACGTACATATATAAATAAAAAATAAATTATACATATTGATTGAGGTTAGATGGACAATATTTTTCATAATCTGATTTTTTCAAGAAATGAAAAAAAAAAATATAAGAAAAAAATTCACTTATATACTTCATGTGTTTGTGTATGCGCATCTTATTCCCTTAGTCTAAATCTAATGCATATCTAAAACATACCCATTCTTTCATTAGATAGTACAACTTTTGTTTTTCTTCACCTTTTTTTTAAAAAAAAAATCTTCTATTCAAATCATAGAATTTGAAATGAATGCAATGCAACTAAAAAATAAAAAATAAAAAGTATTGAATTGTATTCCCAATATCTATTTGTTTTCCTATTCTTTTTTCTTTCATTATTCTTTTTTTCTTTTCCTAATATATTTTTCAAACTCCCTCTCAATTCTCCTATTCTAGAAAGGCCATTGAATCTGCTCGATCATTATTGATTTCCTTCCTCTTCCCCTATGTTGAGAAGCAAGCGGCTTTGTCTTCTTTCAAGATTTTTCACAATAGCTCTTAAATTTCCTGACTCAAAAATATTTTTACGTAGCCTCCTTTGTTATGTAAAGACATGCCGGTTCCATATGGTATATTTCCAAGTACGTATCAGCCACAAAAATAATCCAAATTAAACACAAACTCTACTAATTTTGAATTTTCAGTACAATTATATAGTTATTCATACAGAAGAGTACCTAAATTCATTTCAATTAATGTTNGAGTCCATAATCTGTTAACAACTCGAATTTTAAGAAAAAGGAAAATAAAGGGGTTGTTAGTGTTGGTTGGAACATTAGATAGGAGAAGTTATTATGGACAATATTGAGCTAAGTACACTGAGAAAAGCTCTTTTCCTGATGCAAGTGTAAATAATGCATGTGGCAACATGTGACAATGGGGCCATTGTGCTATTATTTTTACAAACAAAAAAGGCAAAAAAAAAAAAAAAAAAAAAAAAAAAAAAAATTAAAAATTATTACTACTATTAAATAAATAATTGTTTCTTGCCTAAGAGAATATCGTATGGACACATTGTGAATCCTCAATTAGTCATTAGCTATTGTCAGGGACAGTGAGTATATTTCTGAGAAAATTGTTGTTTTCCATCTTTCCTTCCAATGTAGTGATCCCACTTCAACCTTGCTCCTTCAAATGAGCATCTGCACAGCGAAAACAAAATATCTATATTTTTTCTTGTTCTTCTTGTCTTAAACTTCATATAACCTCCGGAAGGAAAATAGAAAAATCAAAATAAAGATACGCAACCAGTATATACCGTAATATGGCCAAATTTTCATGACATTTGCCATGACATAATATCCATTATAACAAATTTGTGGTTCATGACATTTGCCATGACATAATATCCATTATAACAAATTTGTGGATCATGACATTTGCCATGACATAATATCCATTATTAGGCCAAGGATTTCTTGCTATAAATAGAGGAGTTTCTCCTCATTTGCAAACACACCAATTCAACAGCTTTTCACTCTTGTCTTTCTTTCTCTTCCTTTATTTCATTATAGAGTATTTTGTAAGAGAGTGAGTGTTGGGAAACACTTGTGTGAACCCTTTCTTTGGAGTGATCTTGTGAGGTTATTCTCTTGGGGTATTTGGGATTAATTAGAGTATTTACTCTAATTTTGTACTCTCTTTTGTACTCTTGTTGGTATAGTGAAATTGCTTCTCTCCGCTTGTGGACGTAGGTCACCTTGACCGAACCACGTTAAATTTGTGTCTTCTTTATATTCTTTAATTGCCGTTATTATCAACTTCTATTGTCTTTTTTATTGTCATTATAACGTTGTTTGGCTAAATTCCGCACTACTCGAATTTCTGATCCTAACAAATTGGTATCAGAGCCAGATCTAACCAGGTTATTTTAAATAGCCAAAATGACTCTAACAAAGTCTTATGTTGAGAAATTTGACCGAAGTGCAAATTTCGGAATGTGGCAATTAAAGATGGAAGCTATCCTAATTCAGGATGGCTTAGATTTGACACTGCAAGGAAAGGAGAAGATGTCGGATAAAATGACGGACGAGGAGTTTGTCGTCATAGATAAAAAGGCAAAAATAGGTATTATTTTAAATCTTTCAAATGAGGTTTTGCGTGAAGTTGCAGCAGAAAGCTCAGCCAAAGGCATATGGAAAAAGCTTAAAACCCAATATATGAAAAGAACAGTACAAAACAGGCTTTACCTAAAGCAAAAACTCTACACTTTTCGTATGGCTGAAGGTACCTCTATACTTACTCATCTTGATACTTTTGATTCTCTTCTTATGGATTTAAGTAACATAGATGCTGAAATCAAAGATGAGGATCAAGCTGTGTTATTGCTTGTTTCCTTACCC